CGTCGCCTTGATGGGGACGTACAGCACCGGTCTGTCCGACGAGCCGTTCTTGCCGTCCTGCAGGGTCCCAATCTGGAAGCCCTTGGACTTGACCCAGAATTTAAATTTGGCGTTGATATGGTTGTTGCTTTTCTCGTGCAGGAACACCCCGTTGCTGTTCTCCTCGTCCCCCTGGAGCAGGGTCTGGAGGATTTTGTTGTATTTGCGCCGGGTCACGGTCTTGGTCTTCCCGGAGTCCCCGTACGTCCGCAGGCACCAGTCCTGAAATTCTCCGAACATCTCCGCCCCTCCGGCCGCCGCTGCCGCCGCCTCGGACGCAGGAACCCCGCTGCCGTAGCTGCTGGGACTCCGGCTCCTCTGCTGGTTCTGGTGCTGGTGGTTGGCGGTGGTGGAGGTAGTCACCATGTCCGCCACATTGCTGGCTTTTCTCGTTGTCATGATAAAACGAGATACACTTTGTTTAAACAAGAGAGTCCCCTGAAAAGACCCACTTCGGGTCCGTCGGTTCGTTTCGGTTGGGCTAGCGAACGTCGTCGAAACCACAGGACCAACGGCGGCTCTGTCTTTTAACCAGAGGCGAAATCAGTGCAAACCTATAAATTTGGTGATAAATCTCACAAAATCTTTAAATTTTCTCCGAACCTCTGATATAATGAGTCCAAACCTTTAAATTACCTCCATTCCTCAAGAAAAAAAAACAACCTCGCTACAAAGTCCCATTCGTTTTTTTAAATTAACGTCTCAAAATTAGCCGTTTGGATCCCACCTCCTCCTTCCTCCCCTCAGCTATTACGCACCAATGGATAGATGCGAAGAGACCGAAAGAGGAAAAGAACAAGCGCTCACTATGATGCCGAAATTTAACTCCAAACCAGTCCGTTTGAATGTAATTTCGGCAGGAACAATAAAGACACAAGAACGGACCGGGAGGCACGAAGGGAGGGAAGGAGGGGAGTGAACCGTCCGGACGGGCGGTGCAGATTGGAGCGGTGTGTCCTCCTCAGACACACCTGTTAGCAGCGTGGGTCGGTCGGCCTGTCCCGTGGGGGATGTCGGTCACCGCCTCCCTTCTTCTACCACCTCCTCCTCCTTCTCTGAGGGAGAAAAGACAGAAGGGAGATGCAAAGCTGGCTCTTTTCACCTATTTTCCTTTAAAACAAGCTATGAGCGATATTAAAAGGCGGTTTTCTCCTGGTTCGTCTGCCGGGTCTCCATCACCGCTGAACCGAGGGAGCGCACGGTTCACTGGAGGAAACGACACGTTGTGAAATTAGCGGATTGATTTGCCTATTAACCGCCTTTTCTTATTGATAAACAGTCAGAGTAGCCGCACTATAATGTTCTTCTGTTTGCCACCTTTCCTCTGTCTTCCTCCTTCGGGCTGATGGGAGACAACCGGACACCTGTTTGAATCCTGTTTGTCTTTCCTCCTCTGGCACCCTCAAAGCGCAACGCTACGCCTCATTTCCTCTCTCCTCAAACAAACGATCAGGTCCAACGCTGGTGACAATACGATATCGCTGCCCAAGCAGCAGCAGCAACTGTAATCCTAAATACATTAAAAAAAAATACACTGCTGCGACACACGACCAGTCCAGGCTGTGAAGAGGCAACGGGACATACACGCTGCAGCTCCAGTTTAAAAAGCAGGAAGTGTCCGGAAAAGACCAAAACGCGCCGCTACACTGCTGCTGCCAGATGTCAAAAGGGGGTGTAACAGGCTGACGTGAGGATATGACCCAAAGTGTTGAGAAAACTATTTGATCTTACAGGAAAAAATAAAAACAAACATTAACATTAAAGAAGTTTGCCATATAAAAACGACTGGCTGGCCTGCAGAAAGTCTAATCTATTATTTATCACATTTTCCAGAATAATATCTGATCAGTCTCTGTTCCACTTTAGGTGGCCTGAACCTGGTGCAACACAGGCAGTGATAACAGCTGATGAATAAGAACAAATTATATATGAAGATGGATATTTAGAATGAAAACAGATTAGGACATTTTCTTCTTTGTTAAGATGGGAAATCAATGATCAATAATACATTTTGGGAAGACACAGCGACCTTTTAATGTGCATTTTCATAGTTGCCATGTATGTATTTTTTATTTCAAACTGTATTTTAGTCTGTTCTGCCTTTCTTTCCCTCTTTATTTTATCTGTTGTGTTTATCTAATATCTGCATTGGAGTTCCTGGTGCCACTTGTCTGTTATCTGTTTGAAAAGTCATTTAATAAAGTTTGGGAGAAAAAAAGTCAGCACTCACCTTGAATCCCTATTGTTAAAGGCCACAAACCTGCTATTATCTTCAAATATATCAAATATACCACTCAATGAGACTCAACTACAATAAAGATGTGTTCACAGATCTCTCCAAAGGTTGACCAGACAACGGCAGCTGATTCAGAGACCTCACTAAAGAGGATCACATACATCCAGTTCTCATATCTTTGCACCGGCTTCCTGTATGTGACAGGAGTGATTTTGACATACTGCTATTGGTTCATAAAGCACTGTGGGTTTCAGGTCCAGAATACGTTTCTGATCTGCTGTTAAGAACAATCGAGACCGCTCATAGTCCAGACCAGGTCCACTTACTGTCCTTACAGGTACATAAATATACAGAGTTCAGTATCAATGTACTTCATATAAGGAACCAACTCCCAGTGAACTTTATTAACACTGAAACTAAACAACTAAATTGAGGCTAAAAACTCTTGTTTTCCAAAACCTCCTAATAAGTTAAAACATGGTTATTTATCAATATCTCTAATTGAACTATAACTGCACTATACTTTTTATCCTTCTGCTTGTTCTAATTTAATCCATTTTAGTTTTTATCTTTTATTTAATTTAATGTGTAAATTGCTTTGAATGATCTTGTTGTTTAAAGATGCCATGCCTGTTATTTTAAAACACAAAACAAAACCAATCAAGATGAGCTGTCTGCTTCCCCATGATATCAGATTTTATTTCATTGATTGATCACTTCAGTAAATTTCAGTGAAGATATTTAATGGGAGCTGTTATCTCAAAGTTCTTTTTAATGCAGCCATGATGTGTCCCATTCAACCCATTAAGCTACCTTATACATGCACCACATGGGAGCGTTTTATTATTGTTTTGCTTTTGTAACAAACCCAGATAAGAAGTAGATCCTCTGATTTTGGGACCAGAACTAAGGAAAACATTATACCTGGATTGTTTCCATGGTTACTGGTTTAAACAATGAGAATAGAGGCTATGAATTCCTTTGGTTTGTTTTAGCTACCTATATAGCTTTTAAATTGAGCCACATTGCATCAGTTTGGTTTTTATAACTTTGTGTCTAGACTAGAAGAGATGATCAAATTAAAGTATTTCTTTTTTGAGTCCCAGCTGAGGTGTTTAACAGTCATGTAGCCTCCATCCCGACAGTCAGATGCACGCTTGAAATGAGTGGAGTAAGCAGAGGCACAAAAAGGCCAGTAACCCGCTGTAGAAACAGCTACACACATCAAAATAAGGAAGCTGGCACTGAACCAGGATGCAGAAAACACTCCCCCAACAGAGCATCCTCCACCAGCCTTAAAGAGGAACACCACTATCTGACAGTTCACATGGTCTTCCTTCTGTAGCCTGGTTTGTTCACACTGATACTGACTTATGGAGAAAAGTTTACTCTGCAGTTCAGTTCAGTCTCCATGGTTATAAGGGTTAAGAGAGACATTCTTGAATTATGTTCTTTTAAATTACATCACACATTTTTATTATTGCAACTCACTTTGTATTTGAAAAACCTGGGCATGTAATGGAATCAACAATCTTTGTTACTGTTCATGTGTCTTCAGTATCTCTGAAGTTTACTGAATAAACTGCAGGTGATATGATATGAATGTGAACGCAGCCCAGTCCAACTAAAAAAACACAAACAAATACCTGAAACTGTCTAAATATCCAACCTGAAGCTGCTACTGTCAGAGAAAGGGTGACACATTTGTTGTCAATGCATTAAGAAATCATTATTTGAAAGGTTTAAATGAATCTGATTGAATAGAAGTTTCCTTCAAATCAGAGTATAAGAGTACAATAAGAGTATTTTTTAAGAAAAAAATTGGCAAAGACTTTAAAGTTTTTCAAATGTGAAGATCAGAGATGATAATTATGTGAATCTCCCAAAGGCTGTTGGTCAGACACAAGGACATTTCAAGATACCGCCTGGAGCTGTGGGAAATTATAACAATTTTCACAGCAGGCGCTGTAACCATTCCACCACCAGAACACTCCACTAATTTCTCATTGTCTAGACAAAATGATTTATCAATTAATCAAGAAAATATATGTCTGATTAATTGATAATGAAAGCCATTGTTATTTACAGCCTCAGAAAAACAACTTTCCATTATGGGTTGCTTAAAAACACAGAGTTTAATTGTTGATCAGTTTTTAAATAACCAGCTATCTCTCTCAAGATGTGTAGTCGTCATATATTCATTTTACAATATCAGTACTTAGTCTAAACCGCTGGAATTATTAATTTCATTTTAATGTAAGACAAAATGTTTTTTGCTAAGGATGGTCTGAGTCATGTTTGTGTTCTGGGAAATTTTTTAAACAAGTGACTCTTAGCTGGAAACAAGTTGGACGATGACAGCTCCACTAGTAAAACGGCCAGAAAGATCATTGTTGGTAAAAGGCATCTCACATTTTCTCCAAGAGAGCAACTGCAGAGTTTGAGTTTTTCCCATCTGGATGGTAATTTAGAGTAGCACAGACCAGGTCTAATAATGCCATCAAACTGCTGAATTCTCATGATGAGTCAGCTGTGACTGTCTGTGACTATGACCTCAAACCTAGTAAGAAAAGAGCTTCATGTACTTCAGGCTTGATGTTATACTGCCGCTTGATCTAAACTGTTTCCTGTGAGCTTGTGTGATAGATGTAACATTTGTCTCACTGTAAATATTTATATCACATGTTTTATGTATCTTGTGTTCTGTTTCACCCGCTGACAGACAAATGTCCCTGTAGCGACAATAAAGTTAAAGTTGATGGTTAAGACAAATAAGATGTTTAGACTGAGTATGAACTGAAATGACCTTTTCAAATAGACAGTGCTTTAAATAGGGTGATGAACGTCACTAAGAAAATAATACATTGCATTCAGCAGATGCCTTTGTCCAAAGTGGCTTTATGTTTTTTCCAGCTCTACTTGTTCTACACACTCCACCACCTGAGCTACAGCTACAGCTCCAGTCACCAGCCTGCCGTAGGGTTACAAGCTTTCTAGGTTTTCTTGGGAGCAGTACAGTACATATGTAATTATGTGCGGGAAGGATTTCATGGATTTTATTTGCATTTGCATTTCCACTGTGTTTAAGATACATGAGTGTGTGCATGTTAACTTTAGTGTGTTCAGTAACCTTAATTATGTGCACACAGACGGGGGGAGTGCA